TGAGGATTGGCAGCCTGAGCAGTAAAGTCAGTGAAACTCTTTTATCTCCAATTAACCTCCGGAAAACCGGAAGTGGTCCAGTGGCTCTTCAGCCTTGTGCTGAAGAGCTCAGGGACATCGCCCAGGCCCAGAGTTCAAGATTCACAACCAACCAAAGGGGGGGGAGGGGCTGAGAAGACAGCTCAGTGGTAGAGCGCTTGCCTTGCCTTCATGCGGCCCTGGGTTTAATTCCTCAGCACCACATAAGCAGAAAAAGCCAGAAGTGGCACTATGGCTCAAGTGGTAGAGTCTTAGCCTTGAGCTTAAGGACAGCGCCCAGGCCAGAGTTCATGGTCCACGACCAACGACCACGACAAACTACCTTTCTCTAAAACTGCAAAACATTACTTATGCAGCATTACAATATATCCCAGATAAAAATCACCACTAATTCTTATTATAAGTTTATAACATTGGCTTGTTCATCTTACCTTTTAAAAGTTATCAACTAGATTAAAAAGAACAGAGATTAAATAGATTCAACAGGTGAATCAATATAAGCAAACTAAATGGACTTCTTCCTAATTGCTAGGAGCTGAGATTTGAAAAATCACTTTGAAACCAGCCCAGGCAGAAAAGTCTACAGGACTCCAATTCCAATTAAACAGCAAGATGCCAGATTATAGGTGTGGCTTAAGAAGTGAACAACAGTGAACAAGCAAGCAGAAAGAGCTCAGGTCTGGTTTTTTTTTTTTTGGTCTGTCGTGGAGTCTGAAGTCTGGGCCTGAGCACCCTCAGCTCTTCAGCTCAAGGCTAGCACTCTACCACTTGAGCCACAGCACCAATTCTGGCTTTTTCTGCTTATGTGCTGAGGAATTGAACCCAGGGCCTCATGCATGCAAGGCAAGTACTCTACCACTTAGCCATCTTCCCAGCCCAGGTCTTGATATCTGAATGTAATGTAGCTCAGTGGTACAGTACTTGCCTACCACGCATGAAGCCTTGGGTTGGATTCCTCAGTACCACATAAACAGAAAAAGCCAGAAAGGGGCACTGTGGCTCAAGTGGCAGAGTACTAGCCTAGAGCAAAAGAACCTAGGGAGCCCCGGGACTGGCAAAAAAAAAAAAAAGTTTTGTTGAAAGCAACCAACTTTCATGCTTTTCAATCTTTCACGTTTAAATGGAAAGCAGCCCGAGTGGCCTAACATGCTTATACACAGCATGAACGTTTTCTTTTCTTTCTTTTTTTTTTTTTTTGTCGGTCATGGGGCCTGAACTCTGGGCATGGGCGCTGTCCCTCAGCTCTTCAGCGCAAAGCTAACACTCTACGACTTGAGAGTCAGCCCCACTTCCGGCTTTTTCTGCTTATGTGGTGCTGAGGAATTGAACCCAGGGCCTCATGCATTCAAGGCAAGCACTCTACCACTGAGCCACCTTCCCAGCCCCAGCGTAAACCTTTTCTCTTCAGAATGTCCATGGCCGTCTTTCCTTTTATCATAGTAAAACAGTAATGTAGGATTTCACAAGGGAATGAAAATACTATACATACTTAATACCTATACATCATTCTTGACTAAATATTTGTATTATACATACTTAATACCTATATATCATTCTTGACTAAATATATATATATTAAAAAAGTGTATTCATCTTACAGATTCTAAGAAGTACAATAGTACCTAGCAAAAACAAATTTCTGACAATTTAAAACTTCCTATCTAGCTCAGTGCTGGTGACAAGTGCCCACAATCCTAGCTACTCTGAAAGCTAAGATCAAGGATAATGATTCAAAGCCAGCCCAGGCTTTGAAAAGACACTGAGACTCTTATCTCCAATTAACCTCCAGAAAACGGGAAGTGGTGGTGTGGCTCAAAGTGGTAGAGTCCCTTGAATAAAAGAGCTCAGGGAAAGGCAGGCTCAGGTGGTTCTCGCCTGTAATCCTAGCTACTCAGGAGACTGAGATCTGAGGATCACGGTTCCAAGCCAGACCAGGCAGGAAACTCCATGAAATTCTTATCTCCAATAAACCACCTGAAAACCGGAAGTAGCGCTGTAACTCAAGTGGTAGAGCACTAGCCTTGAGCTGAGGGACAGCGCTCAGGCCCAGAGTTCAAGGCCCACGACCGACAAAAAAAAAAAAAAAAAA